ACCATATATAGTATTATTGTATAGCATCTTTTATAGGAATATTCTATCTTTGTAATCTATATTTATAGGGCCTTACCTTTCAATGAAACACACAGAAAATCTTTCCTCCACTCTTCAATATTATTCTAGTTTATATTTCAACACTAATAAATTGAAGAGTTAGTTGTTAGTTATATTTCTTTTATTAACTAATAACTAGAGTAGGTTGTACTGGAAGGCTATAAATAGAATAGTATGGGAAGGAGAGGGCAGGCTGTTTTAGACTTAGTCTTGGGACTTGGGAAGATTGAGATTCTCTCTCTTTTGGGGGGCTTCAGCTCATTGGGGGCTTCGGCTCATTGGGGGCTTCGGCCATTGTTCTTGTTCATCTCTAATAAAGTTTGTAGTTGATTCTTGATATAGTTCTCTGTAATTTCTCTGTATAATTGAAGTGTTCTATCAGTGGTATCAGAGCACGTTACTTCCTAGAGACGGAAAATCTGAATCATCGGAACGATGGAGGAATTTTATATGACACCGCAAATGGAAGAAAGATTTAACAATCTGAATCAACAGATGAAGGAGACGAACCAACAGATGAAGGAGACGAACGCTTAGGTTGAAAAGTATCTTGCCACGCGAGCAGAGGTCCCTAGTTCGCAGGAATTCGAAAAGCAAAGGTTCGTTGCAGTCACCAACGTCTTCTGGTCTTCTGACTTCCACGTGAGCAAAGGTCCCTAGTTCGCAGGTTTATTCAACCACCGGATCTCACATCTCATCATCGCTTATACCTTCAGTTAAGGAAACAGACATTGAAGAGGAGGTTAATCAACCTACGGAAATTTCATCAGACAAAATGGGAGGTTCAGAAATACTTAAACCAGATAGACTTACTTATGATGATATGAGCTATGCTAATGTATTAAATTTGAAACCCTTGATTGATTTCGTTCCTGAACTTGGATTGGGAGTTCCAATGAAGGGGCTGAACCAGATTGATGGTTTCCTAATTGATTGTTTTACCTCTATTAAGAACATTCAAGATAGATCGGGAGTAGGAATTACTGGAAATTGGAAGAAAAAGGTTGGTAATATTACTGAGGGTTACGCTAACAGATTCCAGATGTCTGACCATGAATTCAACCCTGCTATCTTCCAAATGGCCTTGATAAGTGGTGAACAGGTAAGGATAATGCCATCAGTTTGTATATCAGTTCACGAAGGAGATGTAAGCTTAGACTATCGGTTTGATGATCCTGCTGTGACAAATTCTTATTCTGTGGCTAGAAGCTCATCTGCTAGGTCCCTGGTACTCGTAAGTGGCATTTACAGGGACTTTGTCAGCTCTTGTCTTGATTCTTCCATCTTCCAGCATCAGCAACAAGGATTGAATGATTTTAGTTCTTTAAATATGTTGACTGTTGTGAGAGAGGGTGTTATTGAAGTTCATTCAAACATCTGGGTGTTAGAATCTGGTGTTGAGAACATGAATTATTATTCATTGATCATCTATCAGGACCTACTGATGTCAACTACACTTTTTAAGGATGACTTGATTAAATTTTTTACTCATGCTGTCTTGATACTGAATCCAAATGTTTTTTCTTCTGGCCTCAGCTCTTAGTCCTGTTTTCGTAAAGGAAATGATACATCTAATAACTCAGGAGGGTGGCATGTTGAGAGGGCATACCACGTGAGAGGGTACTGCTATGTGCTAGTGGACAGTGATCAATGCATCTCAAGAGTTTCAATGACACTGACCACGTTAGGGAAAGAAGTTGATCTGGAAAGAAACAGATCAAAGTGTGATGGTCCAAGCAAGGAAAATGAGGAGGAAAAATCTCTGAGAATTGATAAACAACCAGGGAGATACGGGGAAGGTTTCGACTGCCGGTTTTATAGGGCTATAAACTGTGAGTACATTATGATTCTCAACAAACCTACTGGAAGATCTTATGATGAATCAACTAAGTCTCCTTTGTCTCCTTGGGTTCTGGCTGATTGTTCCTCAGAATATCTGGATTTGATAAAGTCGTTTACTTGCTTGGTTCTTGCAAAACCAATTGGAGCATTAAGTCCAAAACAAGATGGAGAGTCAATAAGTGATGTTGTGCTTCTTCAATGGGTTAATGATTTATTTGAAGAGTTCATAAGTAAGCACAGGGAGTATTCTGCCACCAGGATTATGCTTCTGCTCCTACTGACAGTGAAGAACAGGAAAATGAAGTTTCAAGTACTGAAGCTACAAATCCAGGATTCAGTGAGGTATTGGGAAGGAAGGGGCATAAGAATGAAGATGAAGCTGAAAGTTGCGGCTGTTTCCTATCACCCACCTTGAGGGCAAGGTGGATGTTTAGGGAGGGAGTATTGATAGGGATCGACCTATTAGACTAATAAATAGAAGAGTTAGTTGTTAGTTATATTTCTGTTATTAACTAATAACTAGAGTAGGTTGTACTGGAAGGCTATAAATAGAATAGTATGGGAAGGAGAGGGCAGGCTGTTTTAGACTTAGTCTTGGGACTTGGAAAGATTGAGATTCTCTCTCTCTTTTGGGGGGCTTCGGCTCATTGGGGGCTTCGGCCATTGTTCTTGTTCATCTCTAATAAAGTTTGCAGTTGATTCTTGATATAGTTCTCTGTAATTTCTCTGTATAATTGAAGTGTTCTATCAGAAACTGGTGCAGTACATGATTGAGACTTATTACAAGTAGAAACAAAGGAAAGGGGATACATAGTTTTATACTTTTATTTATTGGAGACCCTATTGAAACAGGCAAACTGGCATCAGTAGATTGATATGAACCAAGAGGAGGTATTGACTGGAACTTGTACAGACCATCTGCACCAAGAACTCCATGTAAAAGAACTTGTTTAGAAACCTGAGATTTGACAGCAATCATGAGGATAAAATTCAAAGAAGACATTATTGTCTTTAGCAAATTGACTAACACTCAAGAGGTTTTTTGGTTATGGAGGGAACATGAAGAATATTATTTAATGTAAGATACTGAGAAGTAAGATAGGGTAAAGGAAAGGAAGAAAAACCAATACACTTTATATCCAAACCTTGACCATTACCCATAAAGAGCTTGTCAGTTGTAGCAAGGGGTTCACTGTGCTGGAAATTCAGTGGATCAGCAGTTACATGATGCATTGCTCCTGAATCTGGAAACCATTGTTGGCTGGATGGAACAGGTCCAAGAACTGAAGAGTTAGCACTGGAAAAGGCTGCAGAGGGTGAAGGTCTGGGAGAGTATTGTTCCCAATTAAAAGCTTCTGGAACTGGAGTGGTAGATTGCTGGTTAAAGGGATGAACAGGATGAGTTGGAGGATTGTAATGTTGATATGTGTTCTGTTTGGAAGTATAGGAAGGTTGATAAGTGTTCTGAGGTTGATGGTATGGATTTGGTGACTGTGAGTTGAAGTGGTTTGAAGGTCCAGGAGTAGAATTTACATAGGATGTGTTAGGGTGGATTGGTATAAGCAGGATTATAGCGATGATAACATATTAAGGCATGATGGCTTGGTTTTCCACGGACCTGACAGATTACAGAACCACGGCCTCCAAAACGACCACTTCGACCTCTATTGAAGCCACCACGACCTCATCCTCTGTAGGAATTAGGGTTGTTAGGGTTATTGAACTGCGCAACGTTTGCAGAGGAGGTTTCCGATGCTATAGGAGTTTCGGAGTTGGTATTTTGAGACGAGGCTTCAACACGAGCAATATTAGCAGAGAAAATGTTTTGTGTAGTAGATTCGTGAAGCTTTTTCAGACGCATTTCTTTGAGTAATAGTAGAGGTTCGAGTTCAGAGATGGTTATCGGATCCAAAATGCTTCGTGAGGTTCGGACGATACAAGAGACTCATACTCCTCTGGAAGTCCTTCGAGAATTACACTGATGTGCTCTTTGGTAGATATCGGTTCTCCAATCGATGTGAGGTTATCAACAATCGTCTGAATTCGAAGAAGATAATCTGAAACCGATCATTCTCCTTTTCCAGTGTTGTAGAGCACAGATTTGAGCTGTCTGGCCCTTGCGACAATGGATGACTGGAAGAATTTTTGAATTGTACTCCAAAGCTCGTGTGAGTGTTGACAATGAATGACTCGAGCATGGAGTGATTCGGATAGAGAAGAAAGCAGCCATGAAAATAGCATTTGGTCCTGTTGTTCCCAGATAGCATACGCATCATTGATCGTCTTGTTCTCTCCACCGTCGCCATTGATAAACTGATCAGGATTTTTTGGATTTTCCACAAATTGTTCCAATTTGTGTGCTCGAATAACTGATTCAATGTGATGCTTCCAGAGAAGATAATTGTTCGAATCAAGTTTAATTGGGAGAGGATGTGTGAATACTGCTGGAAACGTAACATTTCCAGTAGCTGAAGAAGAGGAAGATGTTGAGCTTGAGTTCGTCATGGCAGATCGAGCTAAAGCTCTGATACCATATTAGAATAGTAAAAGAATGTAAAGATGAAGGAGGAATGAATTCATATTAATCTCAATAGCAGTTACATGACTATATATAGTGCTGAAGCTCTAAAAGACTTGTAACAAACAATAGGCAGCTTCTAACTAAGTATAACAGCTAGACTTAATGCTAGGCTATTACAATAGGCGTGCATATAGTATTCCTAACATAAACACTCCCTGTCCTACAAAGATAGGCTTGTATTCCATTTCATCATTCCTACAAAGGTGGTCCAGTGGCTATATAGGGTATTCGGATGTGCATTTAATTTCTCACTCCTGTTACCACTACTTAATTTTTCATTTTCAGTTTTCCCGTGTATCATTAATTCATTAGTCAACTTTTAATTATGGTTTTTCATTGGGATATTAAATAATTACAGCTTTTTTATTATGTGCAACTTCGCACATGAAGGCAGTGTTCGTTTCAAAAGTGATTACAGATTGACAAATTAAATGAAAAATTAGCTACGTGCTATGAACTATGACTCCTTTTTTGGACAAATGGAGTAGTAGATTCATATACATAAAGCACAAGTTACCTAGGGAGCTGTCATACCGACATGTGCCAACTGAAGTGGTATTGTTACCAGAAGGAGATCCTGTACATAATGAAAAATAATACTGATTCCTTCCCTATAGTGAAGTGCTTTTTCAAGACTAATTTTACAGATAAAGATGAAAATTTCAAAACTAATATAATCTAAAACAAACTCTTTAAGAAGAATGCTCACCAACAATTGCAGCAGTTTGAGATACATATCTATTAGACTTTGACGTCCTGGATATTTTCTGTGCCTTTCCCAATTTCCCGGACACTGGTGTTTGCAGTGGGCTGTTGAGAGCATATACAGAAACTTCATTCTCATCACCCAATGCATGTGCAAGACTCATTGTCTCTGTCTTACGCTTCAATGTCTAATTGAACCAATTATGGGTCAGAATATAAATAACAAAACTAATATTCCTAAACTTATTAGATGTTCATGTTCACAATACAAACTTTCAACGGGTAAAATGTACATGTAGAACTCATCCAAAAATAGTACAATGTCAACGGGGCATACCCCTGTCCAAAAATCCAAATACAAGAACAAAATAAAACAAAGCTAGAGTGAAGCCTAAACTATCCAAAATACCCACCACCCCCACCTCGCCCCTTTCGGTACAAGATGGGGGAGAGTTTTAGCAGAGATGGCACGGGACAAGTCCCCGGCTCACAAACCAGCAAACATCAAAAGCACCACAAACAAAGCACAAAAATCCTGCTGGCCGAGAACTAATTAAAGCCCCAGGCCCAGCTAACATCCAGTACACAAAATAATCCCAGCCCACAAAAACCACCAACACCTAATTAAAGGCAGTGGAAGTCTCGGGCGAACAATCCACAATCAAACAAGAAGCAGTGAACAGGACAAATAAAGCCCAGGTGGCTGGATCCCGAAGACAACACGCGGACCACACTATTCAGGCAACCCGGCCCGTTGGAAGAGTAGAAACCCTAGAGACTGATAGAAGGTAACAATTCACGAGCACAAGTTTAACAAATCAACGAAAACTGTAATGAAGAAGATCAACGATGTTTATTGAATGGAAAGGGAATACAGGTCGTATACAAGCCTTGGGACTGTTCGAGAAGCCCACTCTCCAAGCCAAAAGCCAACTGCGCCGCTGGAGTGAAAACGCCCTAATCCAAAAGTCAAAGTGCTCCCACAGCACCCAACAGCGAAGTCGTATCCATCAGGAAACAGGACTGGACAGCCGGTCTCATCAACGAAACATCAGCCCATCCACACCGGTCCGGTTATCTTCTCCAGCGATTCCGGCGGGTTTCCAGCAGGCATAAAAATCACGTCGGAGGCCAGAACAAGCACAGATCCAGGAATATATGTCCAGTAAACCTCTATCCAAAGGCTCATAGAAGAGTGAAAATCTCGTCCGTCTCAGGTTCAGTCACCCACCCCCACCGATGGCAATCGGAGGGCACAACGACTATGGCCACATCAACAGTGTTCTCCGGAGGAAGAAGATCAACGAAAAAGCAGTGAAGAACAAGCTAACCCAGCTAGCGGCCACAAAAATAGCAATTTCGGACAGATGAAGTGAAATGGCAGCCACAAGAGATCTGTCCACCATGGCCAAAACGGAGCAGATCTCTGAGGAAGAAGAGACCAGAAATGGTGAAGAACAAGCTAGCAACTCCCAAACTAGCGGCCAAGAGGATGAACACTTCTGGTAGATGATTCTCAAAGTACCCCAGCAGCAAGGAGACAGTCAAGAGCCCTAAACAATAAGTAAGAAACTGGCGGCCCTTACACTACCATGTCCAGCGCCATGCCAGAAGGCATCAAGCTGCAGACGCTGGGAAGCTTTCTCCCTGATAGCTACTGGTTAGAGGGAAGAGGATGGAGACAAAGACCAGGGGAATCACAAGGCAACCGATTCCACCCAGGCTCAGTCGCCAGAGCAACCATAACTGATGGACTGTCAACGAGAACAGAAGGGTTGCTCGCCGGAAGCTAATAACCAACCTGGAAAGGTGGCTTTCACCATGGTTGAGTGCAGACTGAGAAAGAGGACCACAGGACAGCAAGGAAAGGCAACAGCATGGAATACCTGGACAACACCTTAAACGGAGTAGCACTAAAACTGCAGACCATCAAGAGATGAGAGCAAACTCACCACACATAGCAAATCCCCAGGACCAGAAGAGGCCACAGCGGAAGAAACCACGAACAAAATCGAAAAAAACCATCCAAAACATTCCAATCCGAAGATAAAAAGCCCAAAAGTCAAACGAAAAGTACAAATCTCATCCATCGAAATGAACGAGATGGTTCCAAAATAAGAATCAAATACCATTTAGCAAGCTAAAACGGTATGAATCGGGCCGGAAACAACCTGGAAACTAGAGAGAAGTCAGAGACTTCTCCTAGTGAGAGAACACTCTCAACCAGGCGTTATGGCATCTCACAATACAAACTTTCAAAAGAACACTTCTCTTATCCAACTATACATCTTCCTATATGTAAACAAAACTCGAATGCCACTGGAACACTTCTTCCCTTGATATATTTAGTCTCTTTCTAATGCATATCATGCATATGTCAAAATACCTTAAAATCATGAATACCTTAAAGTTAAATGGCAACCTTATTAGCTGTACATCCAAATTGATAAACTCAAAAGGTCAAAATAGATTATGGAAAAAGAATCAAAACATCACTCAAACCAACAAATAAAGGGGTTTTTCCTTAAATATTACTAATAAAAATGTCATGGAATAAATGTGACTTATTAACTATTAGTGACTACAATTGTGTTCAAATTTACATCACAGCAACTTACATTTAGTTACCACGATAAACACAATTGTAGTCATTAATAGTTACTGTGGAAACCCTAGTAGTATTGGGCTTAGCCCATTTGTATATCTTGTATAGGAAACCCTAGTACTCTAAATATAGCTATAAATATAGCTTCTTGTATATCATTTTAATATCAAGTATATGAAATATAACAATACTTGTTCACATGGTATCAGAGCTGGTATGGTGTGCAGATTACGTCGTTCATTATATGGCTTGAACCAATCTCCAAGTGCATGGTTTGGGAGGTTTAGTGTCGTTGTCTGCAGCTTTGGCATGATTCGCAGTGATGTCGATCATTCTATATTCTATCGACATTTTGCTGGCACCAAATGTATTTATCTTGTTGTGTATGTTGATGACATTGTCATTACAGGTAATGATGATCAAGGAATTGCGCTCCTCAAGCAACATCTCTTTAGCAAATTTCAAACAAAAGACTTGGGAAAGTTGAGATACTTCCTTGGCATTGAGGTCGCACAATCTCAAAATGGAATTGCTCTCTCACAAAGAAAGTATGCCTTGGATATTCTTGAGGAAACATGTTTGCTAGATTGCAGGTCAGTGGATACACCAATGGATCCGAACGTTAAACTCTTATCAAAACAGGGAGATTTTTTGCCCAACAAGGAAAAATGTAGATGACCCATCGGCAAATTGAATTATCTTACCATCACGAGACCAGATATTTCATTTGCGGTAAGTGTTCTTAGTCAATTTCTTGATAAGCCATGGACTGGACATTGGGATGCAGTTATCCGAGTTTTGAGATACATCAAGAAAACTCCGGGGCAAGGATTGTTGTTTGAAGATCGAGGCCACCATGATATTGTGGGATACTGTGATGCAGACTGGGCCGGATGTCCGATGGATAGACGTTCCACTTCGGGATATTGTATCTTGATTGATGGAAACTTAATTTCATGGAAAAGTAAGAAACAGGATGTGGTTGCCAGATCTAGTGTTGAAGCAGAATATCGTGCAATGGCCCTTGCTACATGTGAAATCTTATGGTTGAAGCATCTCCTCCAAGAGTTAAAATATGGAAACACAAAACCGGTTCAACTCATGTGTGATAATCAAGCTGCAATGCACATCGCATCAAATTCGGTATATCATGAGAGGACAAAACATATTGAAGTTGATTGTCATTTTATCCGAGAGAAGATCGTGAGTGGACATATCATCACTAAATATGTCAACACAACTGAACAACTTGCGGATATTTTAACTAAGTCTCTTAGAAGTCCTAGAGTGGGATATATTTGTAACAAACTTGGTACATATGATTTATATGCTCCAGCTTGAGGGGGGTGTGGAAACCCTAGTAGTATTGGGCTTAGCCCATTTGTATATCTTGTATAGGAAACCCTAGTACTCTAAATATAGCTATAAATATAGCTTCTTGTATATCATTTTAATATCAAGTATATGAAATATAACAATACTTGTTCACAGTTACTAAGTAATACTTTTGTCTATCACGTTTTAAAGAGTAATATTTATGGAATTTTTTCACAAATAAACCACTCCCCCCACAAGAGCCCATCACAAAATAATCAAAATTTATTGTTAAATGTTACCAGGTAACACGGCTAAGTTGTAGAGAATTTGGAATAGAAGGAAATTCTAATTTCTTAAAATTGATCATGTATCGGAGATGATATAGGCTCACGAGATGAGACTTAAAAAATTTACAATGATAGAAGTTGACATATACACGAAAGATGCCTATACATGGGGTAATTAATACGTAGTTTTCCCTCCATCCCAATATTATCTTCATTCTTTCCTATTTCATTCATCCCAAAATAAACTTCATTTTCCTTTTATGGCAAAGAATTCACAGTTTATATTATTTCTCCCTCTTTTGAACAACTCTCAATCACACAATTTCCACTTCCTTAATCTACATGCAAAATCAAAACCCGAGTTAATATTGGTACATAATAGGTGTTATTTTTGGCTTTACAAATAACCTAGATCATATCAAGAAAGATTTAAAAGTAAAGAAAAAAGTTTTTGAAGAGTGATTTTACTATATAGTTTCAAATATGTAAACTAGAAGTTACCTTAAATAGGAGCAAAATATAGGTGTTCTCCCTAAATAATAGTACTACATTTTTCCCTAGCTAGGAGTCTAGGACTACAGATGGCCATATCAGGATGACATGGTACTAAAATAGTTGTGCATATCAGGTTGTACTATTTAGGGAGAAACATAGCACTCCTATTTTGGGAATTCAGCCTATGTAAACAGAACTTAGAATGGCAGCAGCAGCCTTCTTCCATTCGTATACATAGTCTCTTGCAAACTCATAATTTGCATTAACGTAGGCATCAATACTCTAAAGTAACATAACTATCTATTAAACACCATACCACTCAAAAGGTCAAAATAGAATAGAGTCAGAAACATCACTAAAACCACCAAGTAAACCACACCCCATTTTGAGCATCAATTCAAGATTCAAACTCTACTGTTAACATAGCTAAATGACACAAATCATATCAAGCAATGTTTAATAGTACAACTGTACAGGATTTTTTGGATAGTTTGCAAATTTTGCCATCATCTTGGGTTAGATGAGAGTATGACTTTGGAGAGAGCAAAGTGGAGGACGGGTATTCATGCGGCGGATTAATTTCTTATCTCTTTTTTTCCCTTTATCATCTTTATCTTTCTTATGCTTTTTATCCTTTTATCTTTTCTATTTTATATATGGGACTTTGTGAGAAGGATTCAAACGAAAGAAGTTAAAAACGCCCTGAGAAAGATAGGGCGTAAGAAAGACATACTGATGTACAAGAATGTGCCAACTATCGAGGGATTAAGCTTATGAGTCACAACATGAAATTTTGGGAGCAATTGGTTGAGAAAAGACTCCGTAAAAGTGTGAAAATCTCGGCAAATCAGTTTGTTTTTATGTATGGGGCTATGGGCACTCAACAACTGAGTTCATTCAGTTTTCATTGACTTAGAAAAGGCATATGATAGAGTAGCTCGATAAGTCCTTTGGTGGATCTTAACTAGAAAAGGCATATCATGTAAGTATATCAATATCTTCATGGATATATATGAGGCTTGTACTACAAGTGTCCCTACTAATGTAGAGAGGATGACAGAGTTCCCTATTACTATCAGAGTGCATCTAGGGTCGGCTCTGATTCCTTTCTTATTAGCTATAGTCATGGATGAACTTACGAAGCCAATTCAAGAAAGTATATCGTGATGCATGATGTTTGCCGACGATATTGTATTGATAGATGAGACACAATTGGGTATTAAAGCAAAGGTGGAAGTTTGGATTATATGGAGTAGAGTAAGTATATGGAGTGCAAGTTTGGTAGAGGTAGAAGTAGTAGTAATTGTGGGATTATCCTTGATGGCAAGAAGATACTAGTGTGTGATATGTTCCATTACTTGGGCTCTATAATTCAGAAGAATAGTGAATTAGATGGAGATGTATCTCATAGATTCAGAGCAGGGTGAATGAAATGGAAGAGTGCATCAGGATTTCTATGTGATCGAGATATGTGGACTACACTGAAGGGTAAGTTTTATCGAACAACAATTAGGCTTGCATTAATGTATGGCGTAAAGTGTTGAACGGTGAAAAAATGTCACATTCTAAAGATGAGTGTGGTAGAGGTGCGTATGTTGCGTTGGATGTGTGGACATACAAGAAAAGACCGTTTGAGGAATGAGATAATAAGACAAAATGTGGGAGTAACACCTAAAGAAGATAAAATGCAGGGGTCTCAGTTGTGATGGTTTGGTCATGTGCGCAGAACACCGAGTGATGCACCTATTAGACGAATTGAGAGGTGGGGAGGAGAGGGAGAGAAAGACCCAAACACACTTAGAATAGAACTCATGTGCTTCTTCTTGGGTTGGATGAGAGTATGACTTTGGAAAGAGCAAAGTCGAGGACGCATATTCACGTGGAAGATTTATATCTTTCCTCTCTTTCTTTCTTTTATCTTTTATTTTCTTTATCTTTCTATGTGCTTATGTTATTTTTATTTTGGTTATCTTTCTTATGTTCTTTTATCTTTCTTATGTTCTTATGTTATTTTTATGTTTTTTAGACAAGAATAGATGGGTCCATAACGCCAAGTAACAAATCAACATAAATCAATGAATATATGAAGTTGTATCCAGCTGTAAAATTAGATATGCTATGAGTATGGAATTAATCAAATAATTAAATTAGAAGGCATAAAGTAACATCATTACCGCCTTGATCAATTTCCTCTTCAAATAGAGGCATAGAGAATGAAGTCGGCGGAATCAATCCTGGCCACAGCCTTGGAGAACACCGCAGCAGCCGCGCCGCTGCTCTCAAAAAGAAATCCTTGAACGCAGCGGCGAACGTCGCTGTTGCGTTGGTGAGCCAGCTTCTCGATGTTTTTGGAATGAGGCGGCGTCGGAGGATGGTAGTACATCCTCGATGTCCGAGGGCAGTGAGAGTTGAACTTCGCTGCGGTTCTCATTCCGGCATATGTTATTTTTATATTATTTTATCTTTATCTTATCCATTTTATCCAACCTCTTTTTTTCTTTTTTTCTTCTCTTTTTGGCGCTGATATGGTCGATTCATGTTAGCCAAGCACAAAATCTTTTGGGAATAAATTTTGGATGTTGTTGTTTACCATCCAGTTTCTAAAATGTAAACAAAACTTGAATGCTGCCAGCTGTCAGGCCTACCCTTGATGTAATTAGTTACTCTAGAGATCACATACCAGGCATTCATCTATGCACATGGGTGGAGCTAGGGGCCACGGTGGATTGGTAGGCTCCTGCCCAACCAAAATTTAAAAAAAAATATTAGTGTAAAATTGTTAATGTTATAAGTTTCCAAGAAAATCTTTGTAGCGGCCCAGCCCCATTTGGGTCCCTGACTAAGACATTGTCTATGCGGAAATTTTCTTCAAGTTATATAACTACAAGCTTAAGTTTACAGCCAATTGCTACGCTCAAAAGATAAAAAAAAAAGATAAGAACTCGAACGTCCCTACAGGTAGCAATTAAACCGATCCCTGTTAACCTGGCTAAATGCCCCAAAATCCAATCAAGAAAGGTTTATCTGAAACTAAAAAACTGTAATGCGTCATCGTAAAGCCAACCAATTATTAAGGCATAGCTAACCAAACATAGTCAACTTTCCAAGGAGCAGGTACTGAGGTACACCAATATCCAAGCTCAAGAATAAGAAGTAAAATGAAAAGGAAACATAACCTTCTCAAGGGACGAAATAGAACTAGATTACTAACCGGAGTTTTCACCAAGATACCTTCAACTTGTTGAGAAGTCAGGTTGTGGGAGTCTGTGGCGAACTGGTGGTAATCCCCGAAAGGAGGCCTCGAGGCCGTGAATGGCAGCTGCTGTGGCCTCAAAGCTTCTTGAAGATGCTGCTTTTGCATGATATGAAAAGCACTGGGAATTTCAATTTCCCGATTCTTGAGAATCTTTAATTATTTTTTCAAGAAAAGGGGGGTAGAGCAAGATTTGGAGCAGGGTTTTGAAGAATCGATGGTTTTTAGGGAGCGGTGGAAAAGTAAGAATGGGTGATGAGGTAGGAGAAAATTGAGGAGAGGAAGAAAAAGAGTGAATCGGATACAGATGGGATCTGAGTTTATAGGGTGGGACTGGAAAAAGCGGGAAGAGAGAGGAGATGAAAGGAGGGAGTGGGGAAGAAACTTGTTAATTTTGGCAGTTATTTATTTATTTATTCTTAATAACGGATGTGACTTAACCAACCCATCTATGTTAGGAGGGATAAACTGTTCTTCCAAACATTTAACTTTTACTTTCACACGTTGAATTGTGTAATAAGCAGAAATAGTAAGTTTGGATTTACTTTTCTAGTTGTATTGGCTGAAATTACTATAAATGATCATTTTAGCTATTTGTACATATAATTTTTTTCTTTATTTTATTAATAAAATATATTTTAAATTTATTTTTTTCTTAAATCAGCAGAATCAGTCAATGCAACCACTTCAGCCAAAACTTCATAAATTTCAGCAGAATCAGCCAAATCAGCCGATTTTCGTGCTACCAAACGGGCTCTAAAATTGTTAGCTCAAGCTCCATTTCGAACATGGGGAGTCCGATTTAATGAGTTTCGAGTTCGAGTTCCAGGGCACTTACATTTTAGATTTGAATCTTATTCGACTTCGCAATCCTTAATCCCAAAAGAATTTAGGGTCTCCTAACATCCAAGCCTTAATCCCAAAAAAATTTAGGGTCGGCTAACATTAATCGATCTATTATATCGGTGCCCAACAGAGAAGACGGAAAAGAAAGGGAAGAAAAAAAGTAAAATAAAACGAATAAAATAAAAATAAATAAATATAAGATAACAATAACACAAGAATAAGAAAGATAAAAGATAAAAAATAAAAGAGCATAAAAAAGCTAGAAGATAAAAATAACATAAGAATATAAAAAGATAAAGAAGATAAACGATAAAACAAAGGAAAAATTGAAAATAATAATCCCAACTATTGTCGGTCCGCTAACAATAATCCCAACTATTGAATATTTTTGTATAATCCCAACTATGGACCATCCGCCAATAATGGTCTTTGACCGCATATTACCTACTCTAACAAGTGAATTTTTAATTGAAATTAAGCGTAAAAATTAAAATTTGGAATTATTTATAGGGATTACCTGCTATATCTCTTTAGAAACTATAGGAATTTATTTATAATCGGTCACGTCGGACCATTATTGGCGGAAGGTGCCTAAAGATAGGATTATTCTGAAATAATCGATAGTTGAGATTATTATGAGCGGACCGCCAATAGTTGGGATTATTACAATCAATTTTTCCTAAAACAAAAAAGAGATGAAGGTAGAAAAGACACCAATCGTCCACACGGATGTGTACACTCCACTTTGCTCTCTCCAAAGTCATACTCTCATTCGATCCAAGAAGACGCATAACAGTTCTGATTCCTCTAATCCAAGTCTATTTGGGTCTTCCCCTCTCTCTATTCTCTACCTCTTTTCCCCACCCCTCAAGTCGTCTAACAAGTGCATCACTCGGTCTTCTACGCACATGCCCGAACCACCGCAAACGAGACTCGTGTATCTTATCTTCTAGAGATATTACCTGAAATGGGACTAAAACTGTTTGAAAATTCCAAAATATGGATGACATATTTTTATTCCCCAAATAGGACTAATAAATGTCATGTTTTGGCAGTACCAGAATTCAAACATGTCAGTATTTTCTAAACATGGTAGTAATTAGTCATATTTTGGGGAAAAAACATGACAATCCCATTTTGGAATTTTGAAACTGTTTTAGTCCTATTTCGGAAATTTTCCCTATCTTCTATAGGTGCTACTCCCACCTTTTGTCTGATTATCTCATTCCTCAAGCAATCTTTTCTGGTATGTCCACACATCCAACGCAACATATGCATCTCTGCCACACTCATCTTTTGAATGTGACATTGTTTCATTGTCCAACACTCTACGCCATACATTAATGCAGGTCTAATTGTTGTTCGATAAAATTTACCTTTTGATCTAGTCGACATACCTCGATCGCATAGGAATCCTGAAGCACTCTTCCATTTCATCCAACCAGCTCTGATTCTATGGCATACATCTCCATCTAATTCACCATCTTCTGAATTATGGAGCCCAAGTAACGGAACATATCACGCATCGGTATCTCTTTACCATCAAGAGTAATTTCATTGTTGCTACTACTTCTACCTCCACCAAACTTGCACTCCATATACTCAGTCTTGCTTTAGCTCAGTCTGAAATCCTTGATCTCTAATGCTTGCCGCCATACTTCCAACTTTGCTTTAACGCCGGATTGTGTCTCATCAATCAATACAATATCGTCGGCAAACATCATGCGCCACGATATATCTTCTTGAATTGACTTCGTAAGTTCATCCATGACTATAGCAAATAAGAAAGGACTTAGAGCATAACCTTGGTGCACTCCGATAGTAATAGGGAACTCTGTGGTCCTCCCTACACCAGTGCAGACACTTGTAGTACAAGCATCATACATATCCACGATGATACTAATACTCTTACATGATATGCTTTTTCTAGTTAAGGCCCACTAAAGGACTTCTCGAGGTACCCTATCATATGCTTTTTCTAAGTCGATGAACACCAAATGCAGATCTTTTTTAGTGGCTCTATACTTCTCCAAAACTTGTCTAAGAAGCTGAATGGTCTCAGTTATTGAGCGTCCAGGCATAAAACCAAATTGATTCTCTGAAATGTTCATACTTTTACGAAGTCTTTGCTCAACCACTCGCTCCCAAAGTTTCATGGTGTGACTCATAAGCTTAATCCCTCGATAGTTAGCACATTCTTGTACATCACCCTTATTTTTAAATAAGGGATTAAGAGTACTCTTTCGCCAACACACTGGCATTTTGTTGTTTCTCTAAATCATGTTGAAGAAACGTGTTAGCCACTTGATGCCTTTCTCTCCCAAACTTCTCCAAGCCTCGATTGGTATGGCATATGGTCCCACTGCTTTCTTCGGCCCAATTTTCTCATAGCCTCTTTAACTTCTGTTGTTTGAATCCTTTTCACGAAGTCCCAATTTATCATACACTCTGATATAGTAAGATCATCAATACCTTGTACTTTATTCCCGTTGAACAGTGTATCAAAGTATGACCTCCACCTCTCTTTTATTTCTTCGTCCTCCATTAGTACCCTTTGATCGAAATCCTTCACACACTTAACTTTTCCGTTATCTTGAGTCCTATGGCCATGAAGGCGAGCAAGTGTATAGATATCTTTTTCTCCTTCCTTAGAGTCCAACTTTACGTACAATTCCTTGTTCACTTTTCCTCTGGCTTCCTTCACAACTTTCTTTGCTCTTCTTCTAGTCTCCTTGTACTCCTTTGTGTTCTCATCGCTCCACCTTTTGCCCAATTTCTTATAGCATTCCATTTTGTTCCTTATTGCTTGTTTCACCTCATCGTTCCACCAAGATGTGTCCTTTTTTGGTGGCAGACATCCTTTAGATTCACTGAGTATCTCTTTCACCACTTTGTTAGTGGTGGACTCCATTGATAACCACACATCGTCCACATGTGCGTCATTATCAATAGACCATACATCTTCCTCTAACATTTTGTGTGCAAACTTTGTTAGAAATTCCCCTCGAGCCTCCACCATTTTATCTTTGGCTCCTGATAGACCCAAATTTATTCTTTATTTCGAATACTTTATTATGTTATTTTGGTCCTATTTGGATTCATTTTTGGACTTTTATTACTAATTTGTGATAAATCTATTTTTTAGGATGAATCTTAAATTAAATAAGCTTGAACTTTTGAGGTCAAATTACAAGAGATGAGAAGAAAAAGGACAAGTTGCTCAACATCAGCCCAAGAATCACCCGGAAATAAACTTTCCCGTAACCTCTCCAAAACATTTTTAGAAAGACCATGTTGGGAATATTTTATGGTGTCCAATCTAGTTAGACATCCTTATGTATAAAAGGATGCTAACTTAAGATAACCCCTAATCCTTGATAGATTAATAATGCACAAATCATTGTAGTGAGAGAGAGAGCCGCAGCTTTGCTATTTTGATACCCTGTTCATTATTTTTCCATTCTTGGTATTGAATCAAAGTTATTTCTTCTCTACTCTATATATTTTGTATGATTGCTGGATGAATTGGGAAAAACAATTGGTATCAGAGCCGAGTGTGAAACCGATTGAAGAAATTTTGCAAAATTTGGACCTGCCATTGACGGTGACGAAATTCTTCAATAATCTAACTTTCTGCGTTTTTGGCGTAATCGACCTGGTTTGGGCACTATTCTGCAATTGCTGAAAGTTAGCGATCAATATTTGAGATAAACAAGGGTGAAATTCTATTTTTGGGATTTTTGAAATTTCGAAGTTTTGAGATTTTTCGCAGGTTTTGCGAAGAAGACAGGTTTCTCGAAGTTCGGGTTTATCAAAAAAGGACGGGTTCGAGAACTTCAAGTGCAAAAAATATATCTCGATAAGCTAATCTCGAAGTTTAGCGAATATCAAAGTTTAGCGAATCTCGAAGTTTAGTGAATCTCAAAGTTTAGCAAAGTTGTAAAGGGAGGAAAGAGATTGCATGATACTGAGATAGAACTAAATCAAGAGAGAGCTAAAAAGAGTTTCTTCATGAACAAAGAAGTACTCTTTACAGAAAAATTAAGGAATTGGAGGACTTAATTGCCAAGAATGGACAGACCGAGCAAACCATCTTTCTGAACCAAAACAAGGACATCCGGTTTTATAACTCCAAAGAAGGACTTGGTCTATCTAATCCATGTAATTTAAAGAAAGTGAACTGCCCCAACTTTATGATATCAATTACATGGGCCTCGGATTGACCAAATTAATGTCCTTTATTTGTGTGAAAGAAACGGCTGAAGAAGAAGAAGAAAAGAAATCGCACCCTGCTAGAGCTGAAATTCCTTTTGATTATGCTGCTTTGAACAACAGTTATGAATCAAAACAGCCCCCGTTGACTCCTGTTGATGAGATTCCGACTTATCCTCTTGAAAATGAGACTGTGCAATAAAAGGAGGAACCTTCAACTTCAGAACCTGTAGTCAAACCAGCATACATTCCACCTCTTGTGAGGAAGTTTGCTGAGTTAAAAGAATCTTTCGATAAAGAAAAACAAGCTTTTGAACTTGAAAGAGA